GATGAGGAAGATGATGCGGAAGCTAATAGATTAGTAGAGTTGGCTAAAGCAAGGAGGGAATTGCGAGATTCGTCGGATCCCTTGGACTCTGAAGGTGTATGTACACGTGTGAGTTTTATGAATAGAAGTTGCGTTCCCGATGCTTCACAGTTTTTAGGCTTTACATGATTTGCAGGAAAAGCTGTTTTCCTCATTAATAAACTTTATGGAAGTTTAAGAAATACGGTACGGTTAAGTTTTTTGTACAATGATGTTGGGTTTTTGTGTCCAAACGAGTGACCCGAGTTTAAAAACTTTAACATAACAACATAACAAGTGTATTGAAAGAATTCAACTTTAATTTAAAATAAAGATTTCAAATTTCCGAGCACTAGTCAATTAATAAATTATGCAGTTTTTTTGTATAAACTTTTGATGTTGGTTCTGCGCAAAAACACTGTGGATGGCGTAGCCGGAGTTATATGCACAAGAAATATTGTATATGTATCTTTTCCAATAGAAGCGGAGCTTCCTACCCTACTCTTTCCGGAAATTCCTTTGCCTATGTCTTCACTCTCCTGCATCAGTACGAACAACCGCGCAAGTTGCCTTTTGTTGCTTATAATTTTTGATCTGTAATTCAGACACATACATGCATATGTATATTTCACAATTTTTTACAACTTCCAGTTCAATTGACTTACTTTTTATCCATTATAGTACCACTTTCTTATGTAAATTTTATAAACGCAAACTCCAACGACTAAAAAACAGCAATAGAAGAATGAGCGATTAAAAAGTATTCACAGTCGCTAATTGAGCGACTAAGCGACACTCGCAATAGCATCGCTAATCGATAATCGCTTAATAGTCGTTTATCTACTGCCAGTCGACATTCGCAATAGGGGTGTAAGTTCCAATTCGACATTTAACCGTGGTTGCGCATATTGGAAATTTTCATCATTTATAGTTTAGAAATAAAAGAGCCTGATGTTTTGGCTTCATGAATTTCTGAACACAGTATTATGCAGCAAACTTTTCAGTTGATTAATGCACAAATCGCCCAACAAAAGTAACCGATCTACAAAATTGAATTCGAATAGCTACGAACGTAGCGGATATTTAAAATAAGCTACCGGGGATTCATTCACCCGCTGAATGTCCATTCGAACCGCCTACAATGGCCGAATACTTCAAGAAAATATGCAGCAGACAACACCAAAACACAAAAAGAATGCAAAAATAAGAGATTCAAGTAAAATACAAGTTTTCTTTTTTAAACAAATAACTTATTAATGTTATATTTTGCAGTCTTTCTTCTTTACATTACATTTCTTCTAGAGACTAGTTAACTCTTTACTAATAGCTTCTTATTAATTACACATTAGAGTACAGAGATCTATTCTTAATTAAATTTGCTAACTGCTACAGATTAATCTACTTCCTCAACAGTGGGACCACTGCGTCCACCATTGAAACCTCCCGCCTGTTGACCACAGGAAGCTCCTTGTCCGCCGCTATGCAACTTTGTCATAACTGGTGCGCAAAGCTGTGTTAGCGTCTTCATCTTGTCTTCGTACTCTTCCTTGTCGGCCAACGTATTCGCATCCAGCCACTTGATTGTGTCGTCGCAAGCCTTCAGCGCCTCGCTCTTCTCTTGCGCACTGAGTTTATCACCAGCACCGTCCAGCGCTTGCTTCACGCCAAACACATAACTCTCCAGGCTGTTTCTTGCCGCGATCTTGTTGCGCTGACGTTCATCTTCTTCGGCGTAACGCTCAGCCTCGTTGACCATGCGATCGATTTCGGCTTGCGATAGACGGCCCTTGTCGTTCTTGATGGTGATGTTCTTGGCATTACCCGAACTCATCTCCTTCGCCGATACGTTCAGAATACCATTGGCATCCAGATCAAATGTCACTTCAATCTGTGGCACTCCACGTGGTGCTGGCGGTATGCCGGATAGATCGAAAGTGCCCAAGCGGTTGTTGTCCTTGGTCATCACACGCTCACCTTCATACACCTGTATGGTGACGCCAGGTTGGTTGTCCGAGTAGGTGGAGAATGTTTGCGTTTGCTTGCAGGGAATTCGGCAATTGCGTTCAATGATTTTTGCCATAACACCGCCAGCCGTTTCGATACCCAATGACAGTGGCGCCACATCGACTAGGAGAACATCCTGAATTTCACTGCTCTTGTCTCCACTAAGAATAGCTGCTTGGACAGCTGCACCATATGCCACCGCCTCGTCCGGGTTGATCGAAAGGTTCAAGCTCTTGCCACAGAAGAACGACTGCAGAAGACTCTGTACCTTTGGAATGCGTGTGGAGCCACCAACCAAAACGATGTCGTGAATCTGGTTCTTGTCCATCTTCGCATCATTCAGCGCCTTCTCCACTGGCTCCAGTGTTTGACGGAACAAATCGGCACACAATTCCTCAAAGCGTGCTCTTGACACTTTCGTGTAGTAGTCGATTCCTTCGAAGAGTGCGTCGATTTCAATGGTGGCCTCTGTGCTCGATGACAAGGTACGTTTCGCTCGCTCAGCTGCTGTACGTAGACGACGCAACGCTCTGGGGTTCGAACGCAGANGCTGCTGTACGTAGACGACGCAACGCTCTGGGGTTTGAACGTAGGTCTTTCTTGTATTTGCGCTTAAACTCGTCCGCCAAGTGATTCACCAGTCGGTTGTCGAAATCTTCGCCACCAAGATGTGTGTCGCCAGCAGTGGCGCGCACTTCGAACAGTGAACCCTCGTCAATGGTCAGAATGGATACATCGAAGGTACCGCCGCCCAAATCGAAGATCAGCACATTGCGTTCACCTTTCAGATTCTTGTCCAGACCATAGGCCAATGCGGCTGCAGTGGGTTCGTTGATGATTCTTAGCACATTCAAACCAGCAATTCGACCGGCATCCTTCGTCGCTTGCCTCTGTGAATCATTAAAGTATGGGGAACTGTGATGACCGCGTCTGTGACAGTCTGTAGCCCAGATATGCTCGGCTGTCTCCTTCATCTTGGTGAGCACCATGGAACTGATTTCTTCTGGCGCAAAGCGTTTGTTCTCCCCTTTATATTCGACGCAAATTTTCGGCTTTCCTCCATCGCTCACCACTTTGAATGGCCAGTGTTTGATGTCCTCCATGATCTTGGGGTCGTCATACTTGCGTCCAATCAATCGCTTGGCATCGAATACTGTGTTCTTTGGATTCATGGCAACCTGGTTCTTTGCTGCATCGCCGATGAGGCGCTCAGAGTCGGTGAACGCCACATAGCTGGGTGTTGTGCGGTTGCCCTGGTCATTGGCGATGATCTCCACCTTGCCATGCTGGAAGACTCCCACACAGGAGTATGTTGTTCCCAAATCAATACCAATTGCTACCATTTTGACTTGTTTTTTTCGCTTATTCTTATACTTGTTAAAACTCTTTAATACTTTTGAAAATTCTTCTATAATTTTGGGTNGCTTATTCTTATACTTGCTAAAACTGTTTAATACTTTTGAAAATTCTTCTATAACTTTATGATTTTGTGTTAAATACACTTTCGCGTTTGTTTGATTGTTTGTTACAATCTCTTTATGAGTTGTTTATAGCTTGCTTGTTTATTCAATTCTGAAGCGAAGAGCGCTCACGGCCGGTATTTATACTAAATTCACTCTTCGTCGAATGTTCCCGATTCTCTTTCTCGAAATTTCTACAGCAATCTACTAGCTGGGCAGATTTTATATATGCTCACCCTTTTGTACATACATATCAGATGAGCAGCGAGAAGGCCTGAGAGAGGAGTCTATATCAAATACAATTAACATTTTTACAAACATATAAAAAAGAGTGTTCTCAATGGAGGCGGGGCTTCAGATTTAAGAGTGTGCTGTGTATACACTGGCTTATGAAGAGTGATTATCAAGAGAAATAAATATATATTGATATAACAATATTGTTGTGCAAATGTGTACATGAATGCCTTGGATTTGCCCTGTAGTCAAATGTACTAGTTGTAAACTCCCTCACAACTAGTATGAACCGCATGTCCAACTAGTCAGCCAACTATCTTTTTTCCATGCAATCAACTGATATTTTTAACATGGGGTTGTCCTACGAGATGGCAGTTGTTAGATTTTGGCCAGAAATATACCAGTCTCATACAGAAAAATACTAGTCCAATCATGGACCAAAACCACTTCTTTGGGAGTGTTAAATTTTTTGAGTATTAATTAAAAGGAAAAATAAATACATAAATATTTTAAACTTTCGAACATAAATTTAAATGCATTTTCCATTAAATAATATTAAAAGTAAAAGCTTTCAGGTACAATAAATATACTGTACTATATTTTTATTTTTTTTTTTAATAACATTGAATATGGAAACAAAAACATTTTAGTTAAAAATAAAACGGATACTTTAGTTAATTTTTGAGTGAACTAAAATGAAAACAAAACATTTTCATTAAAATAAATTAAATTCATTAACTTTGCACATTTCAGTCCTTCCTTTTTAATTTTTTTTAAAAGTAATAATTAATGTTTAAAATTTGAGATTTGTATAAGAATAAAATAAATAAATAATTCAAGCAGTTATTAAATATTCTTAATTTTTGTCTATACTTTGGCTTGTTGATTGATAATTGAAATTAATCAAATAATTATATTAATCGTGTAATTAAAGAGTCAAAAATAAAATTATAAAAATTAACAAAATTATGTAATTAAAATTAACGAATTAATTAAAAAAATGTCAAAGCAATTAATTATTAATCATTAAAAAGGTGCTAATATCGGCATTTAATCATTAAACGATTATCCAAAAAAACATGCTTTAATTAATAATCATTATGAATATTAATCATTATTTAACAGGTATGGTGTAATTGCGAGTACGTACGAGTCGCTTTAACGGTTTACAATATACCCAAATAAAAGTTATCATATTTTGTTTAGTTTATTGTATTAAACTGTCGAAGTCAAATAAAACAGAGCATGAATAAATCGTTTTGTAGTTGGTACATGTCTGGCCATTTTCGAACTAGTTCGGTTTCAGTCAGGAAATTCTAATTGTAGACTAGTATTTTCCCTGACTAGTTTGGGGTTTCTCTGCAGGGTAGTTAGAGAGCCAGTATATGTATGTTTGCATTTATGTGTGTGTAGATTTGTATATCTACAATGTATGCAGAGATATATAGGAATTTTCTCAATTTTTGCAGCGCTTTAAATGACCTAGTTCTCACGAGAGTATGCGCATATATACATATTCATACAAAATACATCCATACATATATATGTATGTATTTACAGATAATTTAGGTAAACGTTGTTAAAGTTCTGGGCACTAAAATCTAGAACATTCAAGGACTGCCGAGGTGTCCTTGCAAATGGGTATTTCTGAAAATTGTAGTACATACATACATGCAAAATAAAGAGATGCTCATTATAGGTATGGAAAATTAAATTTTAAAATTGTACCTATCTGCTAGACTGAACATATTATACTTATCAAGCTTATTAATTGCATAATGAAATCTCCAAAAACGTAAATCTTGAGTCACATCTATATATGTGTTATCAAACGTGTGATATGTACCTAAAAAGTAAATATCCGTTTTTATAAGTATACTTACATTAATTACATGACATACCCTTCGATTCCATGTCATCTTTTGGAATCAAATTAAACTAATTTAGCTATGTGAAATGGCGTTGGAAATAATCTCACAAAGCAGTTCGTGCCAACCCAGCTGTAGTTGAGGCAACGGCCTGCAAATTCACTGCAATATTCAGTACAAAAATCGTTCCACAATACATCACGAACTCCATGAAACTCAGTTCAGCAATCAATGCCTGAAAACTTTACTGAACAAAAAGTGAAGCTTTCAGTGCTACTGGAATTTTCTCTGAACGCGTGTGAGGATTTTAGGGTTATTAACTTTTCGCTGAATGTACAGTGAAGTTTTCAAGCCTATTAAAAGTTTGCTCCAGGCGCTTCACGACTTGCAGGTTTTTACAGGAAGTCCTTCCCGGTCGCCATCTTGCATAAGGTTTATTAATGGCGAAAACAGCGTTTCCTGTAAATTGCTGTAAAACTTGCAAATCGTGAAGTACCTGGAACAGGACTTTAATTTCAATAAAATGGTAACTTTGATCGTTTGACTGTTTTCTGGCAGCTCTAACTTCAGTTGTTTCTAGAAATCAATAATTGTGGCGTCATTTTGTGTTGTGTTTTTTTTCCGAAAAAATTTAATTAAATACATGATTGAAATAATATGTGCTAAATTATATATGATTGAAATAAAAATATAAAACAAGTAATTTTTAGCAAAAAAAAAACCGACTTCAACTCTCATATAAAAAAAATATATATATTTATATCTCATGATCCGCTGATCGGATCTTAACCAGATTAGTGTGGGACCACCTCTGAGACACTACCTTTCCGATGCAAAATTAAGAATTGCAAGAATTATCGAAATCGGTTGACGTGGTCCAAAGTTATGCGGTAACATACATAAAAAAAAAAAAAAAAAAAAAAANATCTTCAGAATTAGTGGAGAACGCTAGTCCTATGGAAGTGCACACTTCGTGTTCACGCCTTTTCGTTCGTTAGTTATTAGCAGCGATAGGATTTCAAGGCACTAAAAATTTGGAAACGGCAAAATGAGCTTTGAAAAAGGGTGTTTAGTTTTTAATTTTATTATATACATACCTGTATGTACAATGTCCACGTTCAATTAAATATTAAAAAAAAAAAAATACATACAGTGGTCAAAAAATTATAGCCGAATCAGTTTTTTCAAGTTTTAAGATATTTTTATTATTTTTTAATTTTGGTTACTTTTTTTAATAAAAATATAGTTCATTAACAAAACCCGTGTAAATGCAAGTTTCCAACTTTGTGCTTTTTGAAAAATTCTAAAAAATCAACCTAATTTTTAGCCATTTGAAACTTGTACTCCATTCTACTAGAATTCAATGGGCTACAAAACGTAGGGCTTATTTTTTCTTACAAAAGGGATCTTTATGTCATTTAAATTTCCATTTTGGGGAGCCTTTATGGGCACCTTTAACTTAAAAGTGGCTTTATGAAACCGATCAGTCAAATAAAGTATTCTTTAAACTTTTAAGTATTCTTTAATCTTATTATGAAATCGGCCCTTAGTACAAAGAATTTACGAACGAGAATTCACCCTCAGGGAAAAATATCCAGCAGCAACTTGCAGGGAGAGTAACGAATGATTACACCGTGCGACAGTAAATTTTACACACAAAAAAATGAATATATTCTCATATTATTCAATCGTGGAAAACTAGCAGAAATTTTCAATCACTGTATATGTACACACACACTTACTTCAAATCCATGCACAAATAAATATATACAATAATTTTTGTCTAAAATACGGCCATAAATTTAAATATGTATGTGTATGTAAAAAACTTTCAGATCTTTGGGCAGTGCGGTTAACGAATTTAGTCAAATTATATTTTCTATGGAGCTTAAGCGAAAATTTGTTTTTCGTAAATTTTTTTGGATATTGGACGTGGCCCTCCCTCCTATGTCGAATGTGTGTGTCTCGAGAACCACTTCACCAATCTGTACCAAATTTTATATACACGTTGCGCCTGCTCTTCTTGAAATTTTTTGTAGTCGGACGAAAACCACGCCCTCTACAAATATCGCTAACTTTGAATTTTCGAAAATTATGGTTTCTTACTTATAAGGAAAATGAATCACACAAAAATTTATTGTTTCCGCCATGGTTTCCAAACAATTTGATATACAATTTATTTTTGTGTGCGCAATTTAAGAATTTACGTTTTTTCAACATTGAATCACACGGTTCCAGAGATTTGTCCTTATGTATGTATTTATTAATAATGTAATAAATATAGAGTAATTTATTTCAAAGTCTAAGTAGATGTTAATAAAAATTAATTTAATTGATATAAAAAAATTTTTTATACTAGTTTACATAAATAATTTTTAAATTTCTTTTAAAACCTCTCGTGTTAAATTTTAATTATATCGAAAATGGTAGCGTTGGTGAAGCTCTTGATTTGTTAATACATTTTAAAATTAATTTTGTCATTTGGTTTTTAATAAATTTGTTATATTGTTTTAAATAAGTAAAAAAAGTCGAGGAGCAACTCAAAACATATTCACAAAAGCCGAATGAATAAACGAAAGACTTAAGACACAAACTTTCTTTGTAGAGAAAATGGAAAAAACTACTACCCACTTTTATTCCCACGTTACCTGTGACAGCAACACAGAGATTTCTATATGCAGATGAGCGTACGTTGTTTAAAGTTACAATGACAACGGCGATGAAAAAAAAAATCCAAATGGTGCAGAATGTACGTAGTGAGATGAGACATGGCACTTGTAACTATTTATTACACTTGTTGCGCAATAGATGATTGTAAATATTACGAACATTGTAATGTTCTTGCAAATTCACTCAGTGTGCTAGTTTCATTACGGTGCAAATTCAATGATAGTGGTAATGTTCTACTTCTTCGTTCACATTTCTCCTCTTCAGTGCTGGTGTGCCAGTGAAGCCAGGAAATGGGTCAAGAAAGGTTTGATAGTTGGTATGCTATTCAGTGACGATATTTAAATATGTATGTACATTAGT